CTCTGAGACCGCTCCTGGAGCAAGAACCTGAGCCAAGAGCCAGCATCCTTACTCTCTGCCAAAAGCTCACTTCAGACTGGCACGATCCCCCCTGTAATTTAATTTTAGATGAAGCTTCTAAAACATTTAAAAGTTTTATTTATTAATCATCTTGTACTTTGTATGCATCAATAGTTTTCTCTTACCCATAGAGAGATTCTCTAAACGTTCCAATGAATTCCTGGCAAGTGGAATGAAAAATAAGAATGAATAAATGAAGATTTGGCATGCCGTTTCTACAAAGTTGCCAACTTAAATGGGTCTTTGATCTCTCCAAGGGTGTTCTTAAGCTCGTAAAGAAAGCTAGGTGAAGAAAGAATCCTTCCATTTTTTTTCAGTCAGCCTTGGTCCAGTCAGAGAATGAGAAATGTAAACTCTACCCTGGGCTACTCCTATAATGATGTTGCAAGAACCTGCCTGTTTCCCTGACACAAATCTCACACAACTTTCAGGAGCGCTATCGGCTGCTGTTTCAGAAACTCTCTTGATCGCTTGGGAAGCTTCAGGCTGCTCGCCAGCCCTCCTCCTGTCCAGTTAACCAGCTGGCCACAAAGGCATGCTTTCTATCTTTCTATTATCTTACCTATAGTGAACAGTGCAATTTTTCTGGGGGGCACTGTAAAAAAAGAAAATCTTCTACATTGAGAAATACTGCTTTTATTATTCAAACTTATTTCAAATGATGACAGAGAAAAGATAATGATATGTAAAAGTGAGAAAGATTTTCAAAATGTATTTAAAAGTTACTCATTTGATTTATTCAAACAACTCTCTGCTCTCACCCAAATAAATTAAGGAAAAACATCAAAACAGCTAGAACTTGGCAATTCTCAGCTTTGAAGAATAACACGTAAAATATCTGAAACTATAAACATAAAATGGAAGCTTAAGAGTGAACATTTCTTTCCTTTCTTACGCCTAAAGATTTTGGCCTTAAGATTTTGGCCTTGTTTTTAACTTCACTCTTAAAGATGTATCGCCAAAAGCTAAACTGAAGTTATACAACATATTTTGTGGCAAAGTAAAGAGGTTAACTGCTGGGATGGAATAACAATTGTTGCCATTTTATGTCCTCTGCAACATAAATATAGCAATAGTTCACACTTACACTGTTGTTTTGAGAATTAAATTCACATCACGTATCGGGGGTGGGGGTTAGTGCCAGGTGCTGCAGTGTTCCTAAAGTTTCTTTTCTCCTTCCTCTCCTTATTTCATCTCCCCTTCCCTTTCTTCTTGCTTCTCTCCTTCAGGGACACCAAGGGTGTGGGTGGCAGGGGATCCTCAGTCTACAAATACGAACAGTGATTTTGTAACTGTTTTGTTTATCAACCATATATATTTTATTATTGTAATTTGAACAAAATTTCTCCTTTCCATTTACAGTGCCTCTGTCCTATCACTGCTGTTTCACCTCAGAAATGGGCTGATAATTTTTTATTAGTTCTTTGGTTCAGATTCATTCACCAAACTCCAGTCTGACATGGGGTCTTTCAGGAGGCAGAAATTTGTAAATAGCTTCTATTGCCCATTTAGCTTGTGCCCCCAAGCGTCATCTCTGAAGTTCTGATGTTGTCAGGAATCTCGGAGGCTGTGACACCAGCTCTGTGGGAAAGGAATGCCCTGGTGTCCACCCCGTCCTCCCCTTTGTCTTCCCATTGCTTTCCTGACGGTCCTGTGACCCTTCCTAACTCTTTCTGGTCACCAAGCTCCTTCTAGGCTGGCTTTATCTGTTTATCTCAGTCACATCCACTTCACTGCGGGATGGGGCCAGAAAGTGTTGGGGGAGGGTAAGGGCTTTTGGTTCAGAGGATAGCAGATACAGACCAAGACCTTCAAAGTGAGTGATCTAAAAGTAATCACAGACTATTCACACTGTGAAAACATGCTCGCAGTTCTCTCTATATATTATACTAAAAAAAAGTTTCTGTATCTTTCTCATCTTGAAAGAATACAAAAAGTCTCCTTTTACATCATGTATGTCAGCCTCCAGAAAGTGAAGGAAACTGACCTTGCCACAATTATAATGGCATAGAAACTTCAGCACATGCTTTCATGGAGCTTGTAGTATGCTCCGACCTCCACCTCAGCTTGAGACTTACAGCTACAGGAACATTCCTTTCTACACAGGAAAGATGTTTTGGTGTCTCTCTGACTCTGTGGGTACTGCATTTGTCTAGAAAGTAAAAGATTTAGTTTCTTGCATGCTAAGATTCATCTGGCAACACTGGGCTTGCAACTCCTCACGACAACGACTTGATGGGGCTCAATAGTGGCTGCTTCTTTAGGTAGAGCTTGTCCTCCCCAGTTACCCACTGGCCTCACTACTTCTTATTGCATTATACCAGGCCTATATTACTTGCTTACAGTTCCTAATAAGCCATTTGTAGTTAGTCTGAGTTTCCAAGTCATAGCATGTGAGATATAGTAATCTTCTAACTAAATGTTACATTTCTTATTAGCCTTCTAACCTGCAGAAATGAAGCCGATTACCCACACTACCTTTGGACATTTATTCCTCAATAGAGTATATTACTGCCTAATATCAAATTAATCCTGTTGTTTCACATACCATTTCCTAGGGTGGAGGGACCAAGAACCCATACAAAAACCCAGGTGGGAGGGTAGTGGTGAATACAACTTCTTAAGTAAGGCTGTATGGGAAAAAACACATTTTTTCCTTCTGAGATCTCCTAGCCTGATTCTTTCACTGTAGTCACAAGACTCTGCCACTGGAGAACCAGGCTTGGGGCTGTGTCAGGGGCTGGCCTTGCCAGCTCCACTGTGCCATTCGCTCTGAGTCACACCTGCCATTTCCCTGGTCCCTACCGCTGAGTAGTGTGCAAATCTGTACTTCCATGGAACAGGTTACCCTTCTTCTCCTACCCAGACTTAAAGAAATCATTCTCTTTCCCTCTCCTTAACCTTAAAGCGATTTCTTCAGTACTTGTGAGACATGAGTGGCTCTGTCTCAACAACTTTTCCTTTCCTGCCAACAACAATCTCTGAAGTGAAAAACAAATAAATACTAATGACCTCACTAGCCACTTGATGAAAGAAAAGAACAGAACATGCACAAATCTGTACATTGATAGGAGGACCTGCCAAAGAAGCCTAATCCTTCTGGGGCTTTTCTGGAACTTGCCACCTCATGGGTACTCCTGGTTCTAGTCAATTTGCTAGGATGATGCTAGGGTGGGTAGGGTGGCAGAAGGCTGCACATTTGCCTAACACTCTGTGACAGAGACTTTAGGGGATGGGAATGTGTTTACATTATTTCCTGCTGTCTGTATTAGGAAATGAAGGATTATGGACTGATTATACCTGAGAGATTTTCGAACTAAACTGTTATTATTCTAGGAGTTGAATTTCATGGCCTGGAGAAACATTCTGCATGAAAAATATTGTATGGTATTTCAGAATTAGAACAAGTTTCAGAAGAAAGCAAGGATATCTAAAGGGTCATTCAAAGAAATTACAGTAGTTGGAGTATTAATGGGAGAATTTTTCCATTATGAGCTGATCAGTACTTTTGAGGGGAAATCTTTGGGGATTTTCTCTTCTTAAGGTAAATTATAGACAATGCCCCCCAGCTAAAGTATAGGGGGATGGCCCTCCCACCATCCCCCTATCTACATGGGTTTATGAATGCTCACACACACATCACCACCACCATTACCACCACTGCCAGTTATTTGAACATGTGCGTGTATTTGAGCCTGCTTATGTTCTCTTTCTCTTTGCTGGACAGAAATGCTGAAACTTAGCATGAGGGATGCCAAATGCAAATGTAAATGTTTTTAATTTCTAGATTATATAATTTGCAATTTACTATGCAGGTTAAGGAGAACTGGGTGTTCACTCATCCTGTAGTTGGGTCTTTTCAATAGTGCCTGCTCTTTGGTAGTTATTGCTCCTTTTAATCATTATTTTATTAAACAGTTGTGTCCTGGCAGGCTGCCTCCCTTACAGTCAACATCTATGATTTGCTGCTTCGACATTCTAAAGTCACTAAGGGTGAAAGACACTAGGCTTGTCACCAAATGATTCCCTGGCCTCAGGAGAGTTCCCATGCATTTGCAAGGTACCATTTAATCCAAGATGGCAGGGGCCTTGGGTATTGAACCTCTATTTTTCTAGTCTTAGCACAAGTTCTGGCAAATGGCAGGATCTCAGCAAATGCTTCTTTAGCAATGACCCAACTGAATGAGAACTGAATGAGCCTGGTCACCCACTTACAATGATGAGGTGGAAAGAACTTACAAGGATTTGGGTGTGAGTTCCCTCTAGGTGGGAATCCAAGTTTTTCTATTCATGGGCAAGGTACTTATTCTTCCTAATTTTGAGTTTCTTCTCCTTTGAGGAATATGGTAAGGATTAAATAAAGTGCTTAGCATAATTTCTTTAGCACATCTATATATTCAATGAGCAACTTATGTTTACCATCTGTTTTTATGAACTGAAAACCAAATTCTTAATTAATTATCCTAATATAAAATATCTAACCTGAGAGAACACTTAATAGTTATTGTGAAATTGCATAGATGGTACTATAATTTGTGGTATACATGCTGACTATTCTAGTAATGATGATAATTAACAACAGGAATTAATGATGATAATATACAAGAGATTGTAGCATTTGTACAGCACTTACCATGTATCGCGTACAATGCTAAAGATGTCCTATTGGTTATTTCATTTTATCTTTCCAACAGCCTTATAAGGGGGGTGAAGTTATATCTTTGCTTTACACATAAGAAAATTGAGAGTTAGGTGGGTTAAACAACTGCACAATCATGCGCTTCATATTTGGCATGTCAGAGCTCAACTCAAGTCTACCTGAGAGCAGGTCCCAAGTTTCCAAGTTTTTCACTGTTTTTCACAAAACAGTGAATCTAACTCATCCTAATAGATTTAAAAAATGTCTATTCTGAACCCAATGAAAATACACACACACATCCTTTTAAGTTTTATTTATGTTTCTTAGTTCAAGAGTTACACACTAGCCAACATTATTAGATATTTACATGCTCAAACTGGCTGTAATAAGTTTAAATTCAAGAAAATAATTCTTATGTGCTACTCATTTATAATCCTCATTCGTTACTATCTCATGTATCCCAGAGATTTTAGTAATCCTGTTTTTAGAAAGACATGAAAATAAATGCAATGATGTCCACTTGTGTTCTGTTTTCTAGCCACTGGAAAAATGTGCATTATGTGCATATTAAGAAAGGCTACAAGGTAATTAGTAAGGCCGATAATCATTACATTGTGAAGAAACCAGAATATCACTTTTATAAAAGGACATTTCAGAACTGTGCAGGGACAATATTGATAACAGAATATTTAAACACCCATGCAGATAAAAATGAAACATGTTATGGAATTTAAATTATTTGCAACTTTGAACTAATTGTGTTTAAAGTGATCATGGGGGAACTCAAATTTCTGAACTGAGAAGGGAACAATACAAGCTGATGAAACTGTCAACTTGCCTCTGATGGTGTAAGGACATACATACAGACATCAGGTTAACATATGACAAGAGAGACATTAGGTTTCAAAGTTAAAAAACACCAAGTTTTGTTTTCCATCATTTTGAATCATATTTATCATAAAAGGACTTCTCAAAGCAAAATAAAATCTGATGTCAGACTTTTGCATATATTTACAGAAATATTTGCTTCAATTTCCAAATAACTAATAGGTGTTTAAGAGAGATTTTTTTTTCAGTAAATGAGTTCTTTAGGGCAGTATCTTAATTAGCATTGTGTTTGCTCCTTACTCTTTTTTACAATGTTCCTAGTGTATTTGGAAAATATTTTTTATACCTTTGGTGTGAAGCAGTTATCTTTTTTTTTTCAATTTTCCACCATTTTTCCTTTTTTCTTTTCTTTTTTGTTTTTTAGTAATTCTGGAGTCTTTGGTTAAAAGGAACAATACTATCTAAGAATAAAATGCTATTATTTAACAAAACAGTCTTCTAGTATGTATTAGGTATAACAAATTTATGGAGCAGGTATGAATAGGCATTTTTATTTCCTGTGGTGCCATTTGTATAAACTTTTACTCTTTGAAAATTGAAACTTAAGTTACAACCTTTGGTTTCTTAAACTCTCATATATAAAAAAACTCTATCAAGGTATCAATGATCATTTCCGTTTTTCCCAGTTTCCATTTCTAAAGCTATCTCTTGGTTGCTAACTGACTACACAAACACTACAGCATTTCCAACAAAAAGGGTGAGAGTGAGAGTGAGTGAGTGGGCAAGTGATAAGAGTACGTGTGCTTGAATGTGTGTGCATGTGTATGTGTGTGTGCGTGTGTATGTGTGCGTGTGCATGTGTGACAGCAAATTGAAACCCTTCCTTCTGGGATCCCAACCATTTATGCAAAAGGGTGTTTAAATTACTCTGCTGGGGCACTGCAGTGACTGTACTTAGTAAAAAATCGAGAAAAACTAGGAAAAAATTAAACAATTATTTGTATCTACTGACTATTCATTTACAGCATGTTTAATTATTTACATAATATAACACATGAACTTAAGCCATAAACAGAATTAGCACATTGCCTTACCATAAAATACAAATTAGAAGTTAAAAATATTTAAGAAATCTGTTTTAATATTTACATATGCTCAGTGAAAGTTATGATTGCTCACATTACATGGACTCTGTACACTTAGCAAAATGGCAGGATGGCTACAGTTGAGGATATTTACCCTAACCAACATGGTGGATTTAGTTATTTTTTTTTCTTCCTCCTAGGAGGAATTTTTTTCATCATTTTGTTTGTTTTCTTAAGACATTTTTTGTTTTTAAATCACCAATGGACAATGTTATTTGTTTCCTTGAAAAAGAGCAGGTAGACAAGCAGTGGGAGAACTAGTTAATTTGCGATGTTCCGAGGTACAGTACTATTGTGGTGTCAAACTGTGCAATGGTTCGTGAGAACTGTATAGAGAAATGCTGATAGAGAAATGCTCAGTACCCTGTATTACTTGTTTCAATATGTTGATTTATTGGTTGCCAAATTAAAAATATGCATATGCTGGTTTAATGAAGGACATAAAACATATTAGCTTATTCCTTTTGTTTTCCAACATATGATGCATATACATGTATGTATGTTTATGTGGACCTATATATACACATATATACATGTAGATATGTTGTAAGACCTGTTGTTTGTTGGTTGTTTTGCTGTTTTTGTTGTTGAATATTCAGTTAATCATAAAATTGGAAGTTACCTATTGAAAATGAAAATTGTGTTAGTTGCCAATTTAATGCAGGTCTTGCTTAATATAAATGCGATTCATTTCCTCTTCATGCATTTCACTGAACTTTCTCTATGTGTTGTGCTTTTGTAAGCTGACAGACTTTTTGTATTCCTAATGCTAGAATGTAAAGTCTTTTGCTTCATAAACCATTTTTATTAACTTTTTTTTTACTTAGCACTGTTTTTTGAAGACATGAGAAAAGGTCTAGATGGCACTGCTTAAGTATTTTCCCATTATTAAATTGCAGTAGAAAGAATAGTAACATTCCTTATGCAAACACATTATGTTGCATGAGTTTTCAGTTCTGAAAATGCATTTCATACCTACTAGAAGTCATGTACAATATATATATATACAGATTGAGATCAAAGATTTCATATAGACTGTGCATTTTAGAATTTGTCTATGAATTTCACAAAGATGAAAAACACCTTAATTGCTGGCTATCTGGCTGTTTTATAATCAAAAGAAAACTATACATATATGTGTAAACTGATAGTAATACCATATCAGAATTGCCAAAACACAATTTGTGGTCCTTATATTTAACCACTGGACATCAAGCTGACTAGTCTTCATAGACTCATGAGAACTAGCAGCCCTCCTCAACTCTCCCTCAATTTAGTGACTACAATCTAATTCAACTACAGTAAAAATACAGTTTAAGAATAAATTCTACATCTACTGTTACCTCTGGGCAGGATGAGTCCGTTGTTTCTACCCATGTGTTTACTGAATGCCAATGTATGGATCTCACTCTAAGGCATCTGATCCAAGGCCCTATCTTTCCCCTTTCCTAGTTTCTCCCTACTGTGAGCAGAAATGAATCCATGGTCATATGCTATTGAGGCTCTTGCTGCGAAGTTGCTTCTCTCCACTTTGATCTAGATTACCCTGTTGACTTCCCTGGATATCAAAATTGTGTTGTAACCATAAATGACAATATCAAGAATTTTTATGGCTTTTATGATTAATTGCAAATAAGAGCCCACTTCTAGACTTGGGCTCTGAGTTGTCTCTAGAAAAACCTTTTCAGAATGGCATTTTGGAGTTGTGCACCTGAGTTATCAATATGCTCCTTCCTGATATATGCTACTCAAACTTTAACCCCTGGCAGCAAAGGGCAGGCACTTTTATTAGTGTGATGCCCAAAATTATTGCCTAGGAGGAAGTGTGTCCCTGGAAAAATGTGAGAAATCTCTACTCTGAGCCCATGGGCAGAACCTTGGTTGGATACTCATAGGTGTGCAAGTGTAAAATAAAAAAATATTGGTTTGTGAGAACCATTGCAATGATTCCCTATGCTGGTGAAGAAAAAAAAAGTCATCTCATCTTGGGGCAAATGCAGAAAGCTGAATGCTAAAGCTTTTTTTTTTCTCTCTAACAGTTGAAATGGAAGGACAGCAGGACTCCATCATATTCCAGCTGCTAAAATCATCAGAGGAAGGAAACATACATTTATCCACAGGCAGATGCCGGCTTTGGTTACTATGCACAAGTAGGGATGTTACTCTGAAGAAGGTTTTGTCTTGTTTTGTTTTTAAGTAGAAAGAGCAAATTCATCTCCAAGAAAAAGTTCAATCAAATCAAACTTTTAACAAAAAATTAGCAATATACTGTTTTCTCCAAGAAAAGTTAAATATGAACCTCACATTGATAGAAATAAAATATATTAGCTTATTCTCTTTCTTGCCCAACATATGAATTCACAAGTCCAATTAGTACAGAAAGAAGCACATCAATGTAATTTAAGCATTGAATAAAAACAATAAATCATGCCTGCTTGGTTATCAGTTATATATTTTTTCTGCAATATTGAGTGAGGCTCATAACATTCATCAAGTTAATGTGGCTTTGTTGTTATCCTCTTTTCCACTACTTTTCATATTTTCTTTGATTAGGCAGATAGAACATACACAATGAAAGCACCCTTGAAAAAAAATCAAACCTAACAAACCCACAAACTAACTCTACTTGTGCACATGATCTTTGAAGTGTTTTTTGCTATGAAAAATACAAAGGTGGACTTCATTGCACAGAAGGAAATATAGTTCAGTAAATCTCTCCAAAGCCTTACTTTGTCTGTCTCCTTAGAATATAATCAGAATTTCAGAAGTGAGAATAGCTAGAAAGGACCATAATCCTTTAAAGGAATGAACACATCCTTCTTTTGAAATATCCTATTAAATTCAGAAATAAATGTACAGGAAAATGTTGTGGAGACAGTTGATATTGTCAGAGAAAAGCAGAATGCTTGCTAGCTTTGTCCGGGCTCTATATTAATAACTGACCAACTACCAATCTAACCTACATCTAAGATACTTTTAATTCATTAACTTTTCTATTTTGTGGTTGCCTTTTGATTAAATAAGCTAAAAACCTCTTTAGGTCTGCTGTGAAAACCTTATAAGGTTGGAAAAAAAAATCCCTCTCACTCTACCTTTTGCCACTCAAACATGATATATATGGACCAGATGCTGTGCAGGGCCAATAAAGGTCACGCTGCTCCCTTGCTTAATCTTGCTATAAGAGTTGCTTCTGGATTTTCCACTCTGCTCAGGATTGTTAACTCTTATTTTAACTTTCTGCTGAATAGGTTTTTAGGAAAAAATTCTTTGGCTTCCATGCATGACAATGTTTGGAAGTCTCCCCACCTCTAAATGTCAAAGTGGAAGACATGATTGAATCCCTGTGCTCAAGCAAACAGAGACTGGGTTAAATTAGGTCCTGAGTCTCTGTCTTGACTCCCATCCTATTTGAACTCCATGAGAACCTTCTAGAATTCAGGGGGATCTTCCCATGGCACAATTATCACCTTCATAAACAGCATAGACCACCTTCAGTCAGCATGTTTGCATGACATTGCAGATTATGTTTCATAAGCACGGTGCCATCTCACAGCATGCCAATCTCAGGAATGAAGATGGGGAGTATCTGGATACAACCACATCTCAGTGAGATGACTCACAATGCTATTGATCCTTCTGAGACTATCTTCTATATAATCCCCCTCCCTAGAGGCTGCATACTAAGCAGAGAATGTGGAACACTCAGTCTCCAGTCTTGCCAGCATGTGTACAAATCACTTGCACTTTAACTGGAAAACCGCAAGGACCATAGTGTGTTCATTACTTAGCAGAAGCAACCCAAATGGCATGAAATGGACCATAGAATAGGCCAGCAACTAAGGTATTTTAGCATCACTTTTGTCCTGAATTGATGTGTTTTCCAAGTCCTACATCAGGCTGTACAACTGGTTTGAGGAGGAATCTAGTCCTTGCTTCCCACAGGAGGCTACTTTAGTTCACATAGTAAAGCCAATAGACGATGTTGAAGAAGGAAAAAACCACAGGGAAGAATATGCGGGACCACCGGTCTATGGCATTCACGTCCGTCAAGTCGGGGATCGTGATTTTCAGCTGCGAGGCGCGTCTCCGCAGGCGGCTTTTCTTCTGTGCCACGTGTCGTTCCAGGGCATTTCGGCCAAAACTATGCCTGGGCAGCCCAGCTTTCCGGTACTGGATGCTGGATGCGTCGTAGGCCAGCATTGTGCTCCTGGGGTCTCCAAGTCCCATCACAGCCTCAGATGTGGCCATTTCATTTTTTATCTCGAGAGTGCTCAGTAAGATGTTCTCATGGGGGTCCATCTGCCAGGGAGAAGAGCCAAAGAAGACAATGAGAACAACATGCCTTTACTGGTGCTTATTATGCAAGGCACAACAATGTGTAGTTTAGGTAGTATTTATCGCACTGGTTAGGAGAGCTGCCTTTGCAAGTTACATCACCTAAATTTGAAGTGTGGCTCTGCCATTATAAGCTGTGGGAGTTTCAGTTTCTTCATCTTTTAAGTGGTATAATAATCCAAGCCTAGAGGATTGTTGTATGATGTAATGATATAATAGACTGTTGATAGCGCATTTTTAATTATTTCTCCTTAGGGCATACAGAGAAATAGAAGCCTGTCAAATAATTTACACTCTTGATATGAATACTTAAACCATTTAAACTGTACTACGTATGAAATATTATTAGGGGATTAGTTGATGCATTGTGCTCACAATAGTAGCCTAATTACAGGTGGATTCATGATAGAACTAGAACTAAAAACAGTAGATAACACTTAGTAAGCACTTTCTATAAATGCCAGAAACAATTTTGTTATAACTTCATTTAACTGATGCTTCTTAACATCCAGTTACAGGATGCCACCTTAAATTTGCAGCATCAGTATAAGTAGGGTAAAGGAAGAGCTTTGAACCACATAAATGCAGGCAACATGTGGCTTGCCAAAATGCAGTGGAACTCAAAACAACAAGCAACATGAAAGTAACAGCTGGACAGACTGTGGGTGGTAGAGGGGTGAGTGGGGTAATGGACTTGAAGGAGAAAGGATGAAGGCAGGACTTGAGTTGAGCGTCAGCCCAAAGTTGGCTGTCCTGAGTTGTCATCTGGGCCCAGGGAGTAGAATTAAGGTGGCTGTGCGGATAGGGTGACCATTTTTTTCCTCTTGGATGATTTCTTCTTGGCAAAGCTATAAGTAAAGAATGAATATTGACACCATGATTCCCAAATATTAAATAGTTATGGAATGTTTTCTGTTTTGCTAAGAAGGGAAGATTTACCTATCTTATTTTTAAGAGTTCTCAGTTGCTACTGTTAATAAAGTCTAGCCTTGCAACATGTTATTATTATATAAGAGTATATTTATTTTGATGGAAAATCAGAATATACCAATTGCCAGTAAGATTTTTGAAATGATAAAACAAAGGGAAAATAGCCAGTAATAGTATGATGATATATGGAAGCAAAGGATAAAATCACACTTAACTGGAAGATACAATGCTTTGAGCTTCATGAATTAGGCAGAAGGCAAAAAACTGTTGCTAAGATTATATACTAACAATTAGCTTTCAGATGTGGCTTAATGACCCTGTATTATAAATTCAAATCTAAAATCTTTTGAGAAATAGGAGCTATAAAGTATGCTGGACATAATAATTGACCAATTAATCTCTGCCCACTAATCAGATATTCTGTATGTTTGGTTTATGGTAGCATTTTGCTTTGTGGAAATATTAGAGAAATATATTCTTAAGATTACTTTTAAATGTTTGGAAGATCTGGAAATTAAATCAAACAAACGTTGAAACACTTCAATCAAAGAAGGGCCAGGTAATGGCTTTAATGATGGGTTCAGCGGCCGTAGGGAAGGAAGCAGATATTTAAAAGCACTAACTATGTGCCACTGATGAATACTCACAGCCATCCTTTGAAAAGGAATTATTTCCCTCTGTTATAAGTCACAGAATTCATCAAATTTCCCAAAGTCACATAGCTACTAAATAGTTGAACTGGAATTCAAACTTTCATCATTAGAGTACAAAACTTGGGGGAGAGGGGTGTAACTTTGCAACATTCAGGGAAAGCTAATGGAAGTGGGAAACATAGCATCCTTGTTATTTCAGATAGTGTACTTATTTTCTGTTCTGCTGTGGGTTGTTAACTCTTATTTTAACTACCTAAGAAATAGCTTTTTAGCAAAATTTCTTTGGCTGCTACGTGATTGACATGATGATGTCAGGAGTTTCCCCTGTCAAAGCACCAAGATATTTGTTTTTCTATAGAGTAACTATAATAAAAACAATTATGAATAGACACCAGATTTGGCCGAAGTAAAAATATACATCAATAATAGCAATCATAATAAAAATTATGGGAGCAGTGGGTTATTACTAAGGGCCACTTGTTCTAAATTTAGAATAATGATCCTTGGGTAGTTTAATTTAGGTGGGTTTCTATTTCATTGCCTATGCAATTCAAGATTTGTGAGAGAAAAATCATTCCAGAAGGCCTATTATTTATTTATTATTTATTCACAAATTAAAAATAAAAAGATCCCCTGAGCACCACTGTGTGTCTGGCACTGTGCCAAGTGTCACAGCTGCAGTGGTGAGGAAGAGGCCCTCCTGGTCTCCATGGCAGCACCAGTCTCCAGAAAGGATATTGGATTTGGAATCAAAAGACTGGAGTTCTGGCTCTTCTGTTTGTTATTTCTGACCTTGGAAAAATGATTTAATCCCTTTGAATCTGGGTTTCTTCAACCATGAACAGAGTTTTGGGAGACTAATGAGAAAGAATATTCAGGAAGAACTTAGGAAACTCCCGCACTATGTAAAGTTGTTTGTTTTGACATGCTATGTGAATGCAGTAGAATAGACAGAGCTTCTAGTGAGGCAGGAAAACACACTAAATAACTATGCCCCAAAGAAAACTAAGTATATTGCCCTTGCAGTGTTTCTAGAATAGATATGGGGGATGATCTTTCTGTAGGTAAACGTAATCATCTCAGTGCTACTGGAGATCTGCACGGGCTGATGTGGGCGGAAGGTGGTGGTGGGTGAGGGGGACTGATCACTGAACATCACTAACAGTTTACGAAGTGTTACCACTCCATGTCTGTCACAGTACATTGGAATACTTTCTCATATCCTCTCTAAAGCCTTCCGCATCTGCTAGCCTGCCTCACTTGCCTCCTCAAAGATGAGGCGAATCTCTCCCCTGACACCACACCACAGCATCTGTTTACCTCACTTGCTTTGTGACCACCAATTCTGAGCTTTGTCGAGGTCTGCAGTATCAGCTTAATCAACACCTGGAAATGCGTCTGCTTTCTGTTCAAAGGGGAATATAGTGCAGTGTTTCTAAGTCTGATTCTGGACTCAGACAATACAGGTTTGGATTCTGGGTTAAGCCACTCACTAGCTTTGAGCCCTTGGGCACAGAACTCAACTTCTCTCAGCTCAGTTTTCTTACATGTGAAGTGGGGGGAAAGTACGAATACTAGTCTCCTGCGGCTGTTTGGGAGGAATAAAAAAGACAGCGCATGAAAAACACTTAGCCTAGTTTTGTACATAGTAAGTGATCAAAAATCATAAATGATCTTGCTATAAATAGAATAAATAATTCATGAAAAGAATAAAATTTGATCTTCTACAGTCAGTTTTTTAATGTTATGGACTGCGTAAACAAACCAGACCTTTGAATTCACCATATTATTTAATTTTGCTTTGATTATTGGCTTCTGTAAAGTGCTGAGAACAATGCTTAGTACATAGTACACACTGTATATTTTTGTTATAATAAATTATTACATTTATTAAATATAATAAGTAAGCCTGGACTGAGTTACTTCTTGAGTGCTGAGGTGAGACAAGTCCAAGCTGCCTTTTATTTCATAGAAGGAGTGAGAACGCTGGCTCCGTGGGTTCAGAGAGCCCGCCCACATCCTCCTGACTACTGAGGAAAACAGCCCCCAGATCAAGGTCAAAGAGGGGGATGTCTCCAGTGCAGGTGTGGCAGAGGGGAAAGGCCCTTGCTTGTCTTTCCCCACAGCACTTCAACCTTTCACCATAGGTGCATCATTACGGCTCTTTATTTAATGCTTGTCTGCTCCATCAGACTATACTTTTTGGTAAAGGCAGAAACAAGATCTGTCTCATTCACCAACTGTAGAATCCCCAAGCACGGGGCATGGCACCTGTCACATACAGGTGCTCAAGAAATTCTGGTTGAATGGGATTAATTTTATGACCCTTCATAACCCACTTAAGCCCTGCATGAGTCGTCAGTGGATGGCTTTAACCTTGCAACCTTCATCAAAACGTTGGAACTGCATGAGACTACGTCTTGAGTTCCTCTCCTGGGCCAGGCTTCTGCCTCTATTTATTCAGCTCTCTCACTACTGCAGCATGCTCAGCTACCTGAGCATTTCCCACAGTGCCCTAGACCATTTGCATGACTGATGCCACATTCTTGCTCCAGAGAAGGGAGCTTAGTGAGAAGCAGGCCTAAACATTTTACATATTGCCCTTTTTCAGTTGTCCCTGCAGCTCTGTTGGGCAAGTACTGATCTCAATCTCTGAAAATAATACACAGGGAGGTTAGAAAACCTAACACAAGTTCATTCAGTGACTAGGTGGCAGAGTGGGAATTAGAATCTGGTCTTTCTTGCTGGGTGGCGCTTAGGCACAGCAGCAGCCCGCAAACGTCTGCACAGTCCAGGAGTCATAGATGAAGGGCCCTGAGTGCACAGTAGGGGCAAGATACCTGGGTGACTGCAAACTTTTTCATGAGGAGTGGGTAAGAGTGTCTGAATCTAGCTGCCATCAAGCAGGAGAGCTAATGTAAAATACTATTAATGGTAACACTTTCAAGCAGGCATCTGTGGTTTGACTGTTTGTCAGCCTCACTCGTGACAATTTCTGTCTTGGGAAAAACCACTCCTTTCTGTTTGGTTTGGTGGGTAGTATAGTCTATTCTGGGGTTCCCAATCTTGAGCAAACATCAGAGTCCCCTGGAAGCCTTGTTAAAACACAGGTCTCTGGGCCCCACTCCCAGAGCCCCTGCCTTGGTAAGTCTGGGCTAAGGCTCAACAATCTGCATTTCTAGCAAGCCCCCAAGTGATGCTATGCTGAGCTGGATTCACACATGGAAAGAGATCAGGCTGTGGAACAGCAGCAGCAGGACACGACTTTAAATAAAGAAGAAGCAGAGGCCTTGAGAAACCACAAAACAGCTGAGGTTCTCACCACAGTCTGCACCACTAAGCTGAAAAACAGCTTTCAGAGAGCTAGAACATATGTAACTT